AAAATCAGAATTTCTCTAAAGTGTATTTATAGAGTACATAAGACGGAAAGATGCTTATATTAAAATGCTAAGTGCTAAAATCAAGAGTCAAGATTACATCTTTGGTATGACTACAACTATGTAAAAAAAAAACTATGCATAGAAAAAAAGATAATCAGCCATAACATAACAGATTATCTTGAGTGGGGGGACAAATGATGTTAAGATAGAAGAATCCCCAAGATTCTATGGGGTCACAAAGGAGGACACAAGCCTAGGGGTTCAGAGAAAATTTCCCGGGGACTGGATCCAAAGGGGTGAGTAAAAATTAGCCCAGGGAAGAGGAGTTACATGAGTGTTCCAGGATGAAAAATAGTAAATATGAAAACAAGGAAGTGTGAAGCTTCCTTGGTACTTTGGCTTCTCAAGATTCCCCTGCTCTCTCTCCAGGAAGGACGCTGTTGCTATAGTTGGAATAGCTAAGATGGATGCCAAAGTGATTGCTCATGAAGAGTATCCAGTCAATACCATCATCATCCATGAGGACTTTGATAACAAAACAATGAGCAATAACATAGCCCTCCTGAAGACAGACACGGCGATGCAGTTCAACAACCTGGTCCAGGCCATCTGCTTCCTCAGCAGAAAGCAGCATAAGCCACCAGCCTTGTGGAACTGCTGGGTGGCAGGATGGAATCCCACATCTGCAGTTAATGCCTTCCTTCTTCTAGAGGAGGCTGTGTGTGTGCTATAGCAATGGGGGTGACTTGGATGAACTGTTCTAGGGCTTCTCTTAAACATTCAGGTTGCTGGAGGTTCTAGAGTTAGGCTGGAATCCTCACCTAATCAGCCAAGATTCCCAGGGCTTGTCCTTTCTGTGGTCATTCTTACTTTCGGTCTTTTTTCTTCTAGTCCTACACTAAAATTGGAAGTACACAGGCAGTGGACAGCCTGAGATGAGTGCAAGGTTATGGAGGGGCCAGGGGACATTATTCCCTGAACTAGAGCTGATTGTCTTCTTGTCCAAGCCATCCTTGTTTTCTTTCATTCTTGGGAAATAAACAAGGAAATGTATTCTCTATAGACATGAAGGAAGAATGAATACGTTCTCTCCCTATTTTCACATTCAAGTTCAAAGCAAAGGTAGTTTTCAGCAAAAATTCAGACACAGGCTCTGGTTTTTATGAGGAGAAAAGGTTTATCAGAACATTTTCTACTCATTCCCATCTGGATATGTGAGCTGGAGTTGAGTTGAATAGGGGATGTCTTCTTGTTAATAATTCTTGGGCTCTCTGTTACATGGTCCAGACAGGAAATCACATGACGATGAGTATCCTGAGGAAAATCTCCGTGAAAGACATCTACCCGTGTCCCTTACACCAATTCCAGAAAACAGGATGTGGCAATCACATACAGCAGGAAACTGATGCCGTCTGCTTGGTAAGAACATGATGGAGTAAAGGCTAAATGCTGGGAGTAAGCAGGGGTCACTTCAAGGGGGTCATGAACTCCGTGAGGGCAGGGACTGTCACTTGGGATTCACGGCTGTCTCCAAGGTCAACAGCACTTGGCAGATAGCAAGTGCTCAATAAAAATCTGCTGAATGGACTAACCAGGCACCATTTTCAGTGGAACAGGATTAAGCATGGCTAAGTTACAGATGTCTTTTCACAAGCTAAAAGTTTGCAAGCGTGTGTCCAAACCATGCAGGCAGACATACTTTGCACACGTCTACGGTGTGGGTCACTGTTTTCAGCATCTACGGGACCTGGACTCTGGTGCTATTGCTCATCAGTTATTGGTTTGGTTTTTTTTTTTTCTGTAAGAAGCCTTGCCCTCCGCCTGGATGAGGGCTGTACAGATGTGGCTGTCCCAGTGCCTCAGGAAAATGCATGTAATTCACAAACACCTGTCCAGGCCCTCTCGTATCCACACCTGAAAAGAGTGTGGCTTACCAGGGTCACACAATTAGTAAATGTTCGAGTAAAGACGAGAACCCAGCTCTACCAGATTTCCAGGCAGAGTTTCTCTCCTCTACTCTAAAGTTGTCATTTCCAAGATGCTGATCACCCACTCTCCTCGAAGTAACCTTCAGGATCCCCTGATGGGGAAATATTTTTTCCAGAGGATCTAGGGAAGGTTTTTTCGAGAAAGGGAAAATGAATACACATATGCAGACAATTCTTTTTAAAAGTCATTTCATTGTGAAAGCGTGAAGAACTGCCTTTCATTAAGCAATCAGTTTGCCCTTCCAAAGTCGGTTCAGCATTTACTGAGCACCTAATTTGTACTGGGCTCTCTGCCAGGTGGAGGACTGTAGCAACTTCTTAAGTTAGATAGTGTGTCAAAACACAGTAGAAGACATCGCTATTTAACAAATCCTGCCATCAGCCGTTCCATCCATACTTCAATGAATCTAAGACGCTGTCAGTTGTAGAAAGCACCATATTGTATGTAATACCAAGAAAGAAAAAAACACTGACAGTTAAACTCTGGTATACAGAATAAACCAGCCAGGTTCAGTATCTGCCTAATGGGTCCCCAGAAACCTAACAAGGGCAGAATCACTCTGAACTCACCCTCCCTTTTTGCCCACAACTGTTAGGGCTTTTGCTGAATGTCGAGGTTGAGGATCATGCAATGAAAGAGCCCCTCTCTGCTGAGGCTGCTCCCCTGGGAGATGGGGCAGGGCTGCTCCAGAGGAGCACCTGGTACTTTTGTCTCAGATGCTTATGCCTCAGAAGTCGTAGCCCCACAGGTTACGGGGAAGAGGAAAAGCACTGGGTGGAATGGCAACTTGCAAAACCACGCAATAGCCGGGGATGTCTACCAACAACCACTCATCAAACTATTTGTCCTGAATTGCATTCTTTTTCTTCCTCAAGCTATAAAACCACAGTTAAAACAAACGGGGAATGGGGCTGGTGAAAGGACGGGAGACCACACCACTCTTGGCCAGAGAGCCTCTCTTCCCCAGGCAGACATAGTAGGATGCAGACAACAGCCTGTTCACCAGGCCCAGGATGACCAGCCGGGACTCTGGGATGAAATCGCTACCCTCTGCTGTGTGGCAGCATTGGGGTGAAAACAGTAGATTGTGAAAAACAGAAAAATCAAGAATTCTATGCTAAAGCATTCCTCTCCATCTAATGAGAAACACAGGAAAGTCCAGAATGTCATCCTCGTGGGTCTGGCCGTGGGACTACCAGGGAATTACGGCAGCCTTGCAGAGCCAGCCTCCGTGCCGCCCTGCTTGCAGAGTCGCTCCGTTCTTCTCCCATTCGCCTGCATGTCTGTTCTAGTGTGGCCTCCTCAGAGAAAGGGAGCCTTAGTGAAAGAGGATGGGAATGGGCAGGGGCCGAGGTGGCCACTCTTTTGCCTCTCTGCTTCTCATTGTTGAGTCTGTTCAGACTGTTTCCCTTTGTCAACTGTAACCCCCCTCCCTCCATGCCACAGTCCAAACAGCGAGAGCAACCAGCTCTTCTAGACAGGCAGGCCACACAGGTCCAAGGTGGCTGGCCAGCCTTTGGATGACAACCCCCCTCTTGGACCAAGATGGACCATTCTGTGAGGGGTGGGGGTATTCCTTTAAGAAAAGGCCTGGGGGACGTGGCAGGTAAGGTAAAATTATACCTGGTAGTTGTCTTGTTGCTTTTCCCATATTTCTCAATTTTGCACATAAAAATGATGGCCTATTCTAGAAACCAAGATAACAATAGCTAGTTCTTTACTGAGTGCATACTGTGTACCAGTCACTGTGCTGGGAGCTCTGCCTGTGTTATAGGCATTAACTGTATCCCCACTTCAGCTCAGAGAGAATTAGGTAAAGTGCCGGGGTCACAAATCTAGCTAAGTGTGCCAAGCATCTACGCACTCAGCTGAAGTGAGAGAAGGTCTGTGTGACAGAATTCCTGAGTCCCTGAGGAGTGCTCCCATGGGCACGGGGAAGGCCCAGGGCCTGGGCGGGGACTGGGGAGCAGGTGCACTGACAAGCAGGTCCCAGAGTGGAAAAGCTTTGAACCCAGCCCACGTGCCCCCGGGGAAGTGTGACTCTGACCCTAGCACGACTGTGGGTGGGAGGGAGCAGCTTAAACGAAGGACGGAAGCAAAATAGAGAGAAGGAAGAATGTGAGCCAGAAAGGAAAGAAATATCAACATTTGAGGAAGGAGAAACCAAAAGAGAGGGAGGATTTAGTCAAAGAACTGGGAAGGGGCAAGAAAATGAATGGGAACCAGGAAGCTACAGGCAAACTGCAGAAACCTACAAATAATCTGTATAATAAAAGTCGTCTGGTTGGAATTTGTGGTGGTGGCTGCCTAGATTGGAAATAGTATCCTATAATTCACCCCATTTTCAGTGAGAACCAGTGTAAAACATTTCTAGAACAAACAGTAAATGGCACAAGGATATGGTAAAAAAGAAAGCAAGGTTTTCTAAGACCTGAAGCCTTCTGTCCTCTGTCACAGGGAGACCCAGGAAACCCGATGATGTGCCAGGTCCAGCATCTGAATCTGTGGGTGCTGAGAGGAATCCTGTCTCACGGTGGCGAGGAATGCCCTGGCCTATTTCTGTACGTCCGAGTGGAAGACCACAGCGACTGGATTATGTCTAAGACTAGGAGGACCAGCCTTCCCCTGTCTTCCCTCCACCCCTGGGAGAATCTGATTCCTTTCTCCAGCTATTCATCACGGGCCGCTGTGACACAGAAAAAATATCCTGGGCAGGACCAAGTTGGATGGTCCCAAGCAAACTTCCAAGGACAAAGAAGGGCCACCATATATTCATGGCCAGCAAACAGCTCTAGAGAGAGTCTAGACTTTCGGGAAAAGGGCCTAAAGGAATCAGGCAGTTCTCCTGAGGTGGCTGTACAACCCATGTACTATGACTATTATGGTAGGGAGGCTGGGGAGGATGAGTCTATTTCAGGTCAGAATAGGTTACATCAGTCCCAAGAAACTGTCTTGTTTTTCTTTGTGCTTGTTTTCTTTTGCAATGGTATCCAGTCTAGGAGCTAACCCTCCAAACTGAAGAGTGAGCTCAGAATGCTGAGTGCTAGGCATTCACCATGCTGCTGTGGTGTCTGTTTCTGACAGTTGCACACCTGGCCTGCCATGGACAGGCCCACGGCACACACTGGGCTGGCTCTCCCTCCTCTGTCCCACTCCCCCATGCGGGAAGGTCACTTTCATTTGTGCTTATGAACTAAATGTGGGCTAACAAGTGTCAAACCATGAGAGTGCCCTGTGGTTCTTTCAGTGTTGCTGGTTTCAGGGGCCAGGCTGTGAAAACACTCCCCACGGGCAGCTGTGGCCTGGGAGGTGACCGTTAGCCTGGCTGGAGAGTTGGGGACCCCAGCCAGCACACGGAACAGTGAGAGGACCCCGTGACTAGAAAGGAGTTGATTACTTTAATGGATCACTTTGTGTTCTGCAGCCATGGCCTCTCTCTGGCTATTTCCCAGGGGAGCAAATTGCTTGCAACCGCTCAGTGGTTGTTTTCATTTTATTCCAAGCCTTTCGATAGCCTTTTAGGGACATCTGCAAAAAGGAAAAGGGGGGAGGGGAAGGTGGTCATTTGGGAAAAACCAATTGTGACTCTTCAGAGTGCAACATGCATCCAGCCCCATGATGGTGACACTGTGTGGGGCAGTGCCCACAATGTGTGCTGTGGGGCCAGGCCACCTAGGGGCATCGGGAAGATTCTTCTGAAGAGCTTGTTTCTGTTCAGTAAAGTGAGAAGTTGCAGGTTCCTGCTGTGATTCTGTGCTACTTCTCGGCTCCAGATCTGATGGGCCCAAATTTGGATCCTAATTTACTCCCTGCCACCAAGTGACCACAGGAAAGGCAGGAGAAAGTTCTGTGGGATGTGGAGCCAGGTCTAGATATGAAAACACCAAGGTTCCCAGGTGACCTGACTGGGTTTTGAAGCTGCTCTAATGGCGTCTTAGTGCCCTCAGGATGCAAAGTGGCCTGTGGCCGTCCCAGAGCTTGCTTTCTTCTGACGCCAGCGGATCGTCCACATGTTTCCCATCTCTTTTCCAGCTCACAAGGGCCCAGGGAGCTTCTGTGCACCCCGCATCATATGAAAAGGCTGTGGGGTTAGTCAGAAACCAAAAGGCCCATGGCAACTATGTAAATGCATGGACTTGGGTTCTGAGTGGTATTAAAAGTCCATGATTATCTCACTTTTTAAAAAACTGGCTTCTCCATGTATGAAGTAGCAATCACTGTTATCAATGGTCGGGGGAAGGATTCAGAAGCTTCCAGAATTCATTACAAATACAAGCAACTAAAAAAACACTATTACTACAGAATCTCTTCCTGATCACCTGAAAAGACCCTGTCCCTAACAAGGAAAAAGGAGCTTTAAAAAAAATGAAAAAAGCCATCCTTCATTTTGGTGTAAGAGCTGAAGGAACCGCTGAGATTTCTCACAGACAGTCCACGTCCAAACACCTGTATTCTTAGCTCAAAAACAAAATCCTAGACAAACATGTGAAGGGCCTGAAAGACTGCCCGTCCCGGGCTTCTCTGTGCTCACCTCTGCAATCTCCACCTTCCTTTCCCACGTCTTGACGGTCTTCTCCAGGTCCCCGTTTAGGATCTTCTCCCGGACGTACACCATCACCGGTGGCGCTCGGAACTCGGCCAGCTGCTTCCGGAGCTGCTTGTTCAAAGCCTCGGCTTTGGCCCGGTCCTGGTGGGGAGGGACAATTAAACCCAGGGATCCTGGCAGTTCTGGCTTACTGGGACTTACTGGCCCTGGCTTCTCTCCCCAGTTCCAGTGTAGTTCTAAAAATTATGTTTAAATTTTCAAAGGAGGGGGAGGAATCACAAGATTCTGATTTTTACAGATAGTGACTTTTTTTAATCCAGTCTAGAAACTCCAAGTGCAGTCTAAAACAGTCTTTTTCCCTTCCTTCCTTCTTTCTTTCCTTCTAACCTTCCTTCTTTCCTTCCTTCTTTCCCTTCTTCCTTTACTAAGGAATATGTTTTACGTATTTTGATTTCTTAGGTGTGTTTTTAAGAAAAATTGTGTATTGAAGTACGCTTTGATTTAATCAGTCTCAATTCATTTGCTTGTATTTTTTTCATAAAATATACATAAAATTTCCCATTTTAACCATATTTAAGTGTACAGTTCTGTGGCATTCAGTATATTCACATTGTTGTGTAACCTTTACCACCATCCATCTCCAGAACTTTCTCATCTTCCCCAACCTAATCTCTGTACCTGTTAAACACTAACTCCCCACTCCCCCTTCTCCATGGGCTACCCTAGGAACCTCTTATAAGTGGAAGCATACAATATTTGTCCTTTTGTGACGACCTTATTTCACTTAGCATAATGTCTTTAAGGTTCATCCATGTGTCAAAATTTCCTTCCTTTTTAAGAATGAATAATATTCCATTGTATGTGTACATCACATTTTGTTTATCTGTTCATCTACCAATGGGCACTTGGGTTGCTTCCACCTTTTGGCAGTTGTGAAGAATGCTGCTATGAACATGAGTATACAAATACCTGTTCGAGTTCATGCTTTTAATTATTTTGGCTATATACCCAGAAGTAGAATTGCTGGATCATATGGTTATTCAATTTTTTGAGGAATCTCTTTTTAAATTTTATTTTAAAAATTATCATACATGTTAGCTCAGAGCTGGTCTTCCTCAGCAAAAAGAGGAGGATTGGCACGGATGTTAGCTCAGGGCTGATCTTCCTCACAAAAAAAAAAAAAGTTGGAAAAAAAATTATCATACAGTAAAATTAACTAGCCCTTTTCTGTTTGAGTGGATTTCTTGAATTAGCATTGTCTTTTTAATTTTTATTTTAACAATTGTTTTGCGTAGGCAATACATGCAACTCAAATGGTATAAAAGTACACGGGTCCCAGCCCATCACTGCCCCCTGGCCCAGAAGCATACACTATTTTTAGGTTTTGTGCATCCTTCTAGAAAACTACGCCCATACAAACATGTTTCCTTTTTTGACCCAAACAGTAGCATATTCTATTCACTTTTATTCATCCAGTTTTTTTTTCACTCAATAAATCTTGAAGATCCTTCTGTATCAGCACATAAAGAATTTATTCATTCTTTTTAACAGCTGCATACTTTTCCACTGTATGGACATACTATAATTTGACAAGTCCTCACAAACAGTTACTTAGCTTTCCAATCTCTTGCTATTACAACAAACAATGCTGTGATTACTAATCTTCTGGGTATATGTCATATTGTAAATACACATGAATATGCGTAGGATAAGTTACTGAAAGTGAAATTGCTTGTTGTAAGGTAGTGGGTCTCAACTGGGGGTTATTTTGCCTCCCAGAAACATTTGGCAATGTGTGGAGACATTTTTGTTTGTCACACCTAGGGTGGTGCCAATCTAGTAGGTTGAGGCCAGGGAAGCTACTAAACACCCTACAATGCACAGGGCAGCCCTCATCCAAAATGTCAGTAGGGCTTATGTTGAGAAACTCTGCCCCCAGCACACGTGCATGTTTGGTAAATAGTGCTGACTTGCCTTCTATAATGATCAAGCCAATCATACCCCTGCAGCAATGTTTGAGACCACCTGATTTCCCCATTCTCTCAACAGTCTTACCAAGTTTTTGATCTTTGTCAGTCTAAGACAGGAAAAATGCTATCTCATTATAGCTCTATTTTGCGTTCCTTATGAGTGAAGTGGACCATTTTTCTTATGTTTGAGATTTTTTAGCTTTTCTGTAAACTGTTTAAATCTTTTGCCCATTTTTTTCTATTTTCTGTTAGATTTTTTAAATTAATTTATAAATGTTATTTATGTTTTAAGAAAAATAGCTCCTTGTAATATTAGATACAACATTTTTCCAGTTATTGATCTTTTGGCTTTGCTTACGATGGTTTTTGCTATGTAAGAAAATTTTCATTTTTATATAACTAACTTTATTGATTTCATGGTTTCTGAGTTTTATATATACATATTTTTGTTGTTGAGGAAGATTCACCCTGAGCTAACATCTGTGCGAATCTTCCTCTATTATGTATGTGGGTTACCGCCACAGTGTGGCTGACAAGTGGTGTAGGTCCATGCCTGGGATCCGAATCCACAAACCCAGGCCACTGAAGCGGAGTGCACCGAACTTAACCACAACACCACGGGGCTGGCCCCTGGGCTTTATATTTTAAAAGTCCTCCCCATTCCAAGATTATAATAAAAATGTTCCCACTATTTATTTTAGGACTTTAATGGTTTTATAATTTACATTTAAATCTCTGATACACCTGAATTAATTTCACTGTAACATATAGTTCCAACTTTATTCTTTCTTAAATGGCTACCCAGTCATCCCAAATCATTTATTCAATAATCTGGTTGTCCCTCACTGCAATGCCACCTTCATCATAAACTAAATGTATCGTTATCAAAACTTTATCAGATACTTGATCATATATGTATCATATATGATCTGTATTGGGGCTCATTATAGGGCTTATATTTTTTTCTTTGGTCTTCCAGTCTATTCAGGAGCTTATTTTAAATACTGTAACTTCATAACATGTTTCAGTATCTGGTAGGGCTAGTCCCCTCATTTACTTATTAAGAATTTTGGGGGTATTCTTATTTATTTTTCCAAAAGAACTTTTGGGTCAGTTTATTTAAATCTTTTAAAAAAAAGCTCCTTGTTATTTTAATTGGAATATCACTATTTCACAGAGAAACCTAAAAAGAACTAACATTTTTATGATGTTGAATCTTCCTAATCTAGTACTGTCTTTTAATTCCTTGCTTCACAAAGTATAATCTCTGGGAGCTGGGTAAAAATGCAGGCTCTCAGGCCACCCTAGATCTACCCAGTCAGAATCTATATTATAACGAGATCCCCAGGTGACTGGTTTGAGCGTTCTAGTTTGAGAAGTGGTTTTAATTCACTTTGAAGCAATCCAACAAAATTATTTTTTTATTAACTTGTCAGAATGCAATAAAAACTTGTCAAGAAAGGTTCAGTGGATACCTACAATGTCTAGCACAGACATACACCTGAAGGGAGACCTAAAGATGTACCCAGAACCATCAGTGGACACTCTTGTGAGGATAACGATTAGAGAATACCTAAGATAAAATATAATAAAATAGCAAGAACCAAGGCATTAAGAAATAAGTACTACAGCTATGAAGGACATGCTGAGAAGACCAAGGATGGCAATCCCGGCCCAGCACCCCACTTGGAGAGCAGGGGTAAAACTACAGGAAAGGCAGGCCACTGTTCGCACCCCCAGCTCCAGTGCAAAAGTTTTGCCCAAGAGGTGAGGCTGTAAAACAGGGAGCTCTAGGATGCTGCCTAAAGGGACTGACTTTTTGTAACAAACTATGGGCTGTTCATGCCTAAGTACTTTGTGGAAAACAATGGAGATCTTTGGGGTGAGCAATTAAGAGGAAGCTGGTAGTTCCATGATATTAGTAGCAACAAGCAAAACAGTACACCAGCTAGATGTTTAACAAAACCAGAGAAAGACCATTAAGAAGAGCTTTCTTAGGGTTGGAGCAAGCCTCAAAGACTGGCAACACTTTGCTCCTGCAAAGGGGCCTGATTTTAATTGGATCAGAATATGGAGCAATTAATGTCTCAGGATGTTGCTGAAAGCAATAGAGCAATCAGCCAGCAATTAATGGAGGCTAATGCCTAGATGTGATACCAACAGAGGTAGACCAGCCAAAAGCTTACCTGGAAGATGCAACAGTCAGAGAGAACTCAGCTGAAACACTAATCATCCTTGGTTGTCAGGGAGATTGTATCCATGATTGAGGCTGCACCTCTGAGGAGCAACATCAGAGGCTACTAACAGCAGGAAAAATAGCCTGAATTAGTCCAGGCAAATCACTGAACAAGTAACAAGCAAAAACAATGACAAGCCCAAGAAAGGGATGGGGGGATTAGTGTCCAGAGTTGTTACAATATATTATCTAAGATGCCCAGTTTTTGACAAATATTATAAGATAGGTAAAGAAACAGGGAAGTGTGACCTGCACAGGGGAAAAAAGCAGGCAACACAAACTGCATTTGAGGGAATCCAGATGGTGGGCTTAGCAGAAAAAGTCTTCAAAGCAGCTATTATAAATATGTTCAAAGAACCAAGGAAACCATGTTTAAAGAATTAAAGGAATATATGATGATGATGTCTCATCAAATAGAGAATATCAATAAAGAGGTAGAAATTATTAAAAAAAAAAAGAACCAAATGGAAAATCTAGAGTCTTTTCAATGCAATAACCAAAATGAAAAATTCACTAGAGGGGATCAACAGCAGATTTAAGCCAGCAGAAGAAAGAATCAGTAAACTTCAAGGTAAACTGATAGAGATTATGCAGCATGAAAAACACAGAGAAAAAAGAACAAAGAAAAATGTGGAACACCACTAAGTGTATCAACATGCATGTAATGGAAGTAACAGAAGGAGAGCAGAAAGAGAAAGGAGCAGAGAAAATATTCGAGGAAATAATGGCTGAAAATGTCCCAAATTTGATGAAAAATATTAAGCTACACATCCAAGAAGTTCAACAAACTCCAAGCAGGATAACTGCAAAGAAATCCACTCACAGACACAACATACCAAAATGTTGACTGACAAGGCAAAGACAAAATATTGAAAGCAGCAAGAGAAAACAATTCACCACATACAAGGGAAGCCAAATAAGATCAATAGCTGACTTCTCATCAGAAACAAAGGAGGCCACAAGGCAGTGGGATGACATGTTCTAAGTGCTAAAGGAAAAAACTGTCAACCAAGAATCTTATATCTAGCAAAACTATCTTTCAAAAATGAAAGCAAGCCATGAACACACTCAGATCTTGGTTTCTAATGCTATTCTCAAATAAAAGGAACCAGAACTCCTTGGAGAAATGGCTAATTCTAGGACTTGGGCAGGAAATATATAAGAGCCTGGAGCATCTTCTAGTGCCAGAAAGGAAATAAGTGCTAAAAAGAAAAAAAAAAAAACCACAAAAATGGGGATATGTCAAATGGACACAAAAGCCAACTAAAAGAGCTCCCAATGGCCAAGCTTGAACAATGTGAGCAACAAAATAAATAATATTAGATTATAACCCAACGTGGAAAATAAATACCCATGAGTTGATACTGCTATAAATAAATGATTTTAAAAATAAATAAATGGGCAGAATTGACAAATCTCCCATGAAGAAGAATCCCAAATAATTTATAGCTCCCTCTTCTTAAGTGTGGGCTGCACATAGTAACTTCCTTCCAAAGAGTACAGTGTGGAAAGTGAGGGAAAGAGTGACTTTACAGTGGAGAAACCTGTAGAACACTACCTCAGCCAGCTGATCCAGGTTCACATCAGCAGTGGTTAGTCATTTGACAGTACGCTCCCTTGATATGATGTGATGAAGATGGCACTTTACCTCTGTGGTCTTCACCCCAATACCACATGACCCCAGTCCAATCGTGAGAAAAACATTAGACAAGTCCCAGTTGAGGAACATTCTACAAAATAGCTGACTAGCACTCCACAAAACTGTCAATGTTATCAACAAGCAAAGTCTGAGAAACTGTCACAGCCAAGAGGAACCTAGTGAGACATGACACTAAATGTAATGCGGTATCCTGGATGGAATCCTGACACAGAAAAAAGGACATCACGTAAAAACTAAGGAAACATAAGTAATATTAATCGTAAATACTAATAATAATGTATCAGTATTGGCTCATTAGTTTCAATAAATGTATTCTACTAATGTAAGATGTTAATAATAGCAGAAATTGGGTGTGAGGTATTTGGGAACACTCTGTACTATCTTCACAATTTTCTAAAACAGTTCTAAAATAAAAAGTTTATTTTTAAAAAGTGGAGGAAAAATAAAGACATTCCCAGATAAACAAAAACTGAGAGAACTCATTCCTAGTGGATCTGCCTTATTATTATAAAGGAAATTCTTCAGGCTGAAAACAAGTGACACCAGACAGTAACTCAAATCCATGTGAAGAAAATAAATAGCACAAAGGTAATTATAAATGACAGCATAACTGTATATTCTCCTTCTCTTAACTGATTTAAAAAGCAATTTCATAAAACAATATGTATATAATTGTATTTGGGGCCTATACGTATAAAAATGTAATATAGTTGACGACAGCAGCATGAAGGAGGCAGGCTGAAATGAGGCTGTATTTAAGTAAGGAAATAACACCAGATGCTAACTCAAATCCACAGGAGGAAATGGAGAGACCCACACAAATGGTGAATAGGAAGGTTAGTATAAGAAACTCTATGAACACACTTCATCTACTTTGTTCTTTCAGCTTTTGGACCCCTTCCTCACACCATTTACAAAACTAACTCAAAATGTATCATAACCTAAATATAAGACCTATAAAACTCTTACAAGAAGACATAGGAGTAAATCTTCATGATTTTGGGTTAGGTAATGGTTTCTCAGCTATAACACCAAAAGCACAAGCACAAAAGAAAAAATAGATAAATTAAACTTCATCAAAATGAAAAACTTTTGTGCTGCAAACAATACCATCAAGAAAGTGAAAAGAAAACCCATGGAATGGGAGAAAATATTTGCAAGTCATATATCTGATAAGGGATTTGAATCCAGAATACACAAAGAATTCTTACAACTCAATGATAAAAAGATAAATAACTTAATTAAAAACTGGCTAAAGGACTTGAATAGACATTGCTCCAAAAAAGATAGATATGTGGCCAAGAAGCACATGAAAAGATGCTCAACGTCATTAGTCACCAGGGAAATTCAAATCAAAACCACAATGAATATCACTTGACACTCACTAGGATGGTCATTAAAAAAAACCCTTAAAATAAAGAGTGTTGTTGAAGTGGTACAGAAATTGGAACCCTCACACATACGTTGTTGTTGGGAATGTAAAATTGTGCAGCCGCTTTGCAAAACAGTTTGGCAGTTTCTGTAAATGTTAAACATAGAGTTACCATATATATAGCCCACAATTCCACTTTTATCTGTATGTCCAAGAGAAAAGAAAACATACATTCACACAAAAACTTCTATATGAATGTTCATAGAAACATTATTCATAACAGCCAAAAAGCAGAAACAACCCAAATGTCCATCAAACTGATGAATGGATAAATAAAATGAGGTATATCCATACTGGGAAATATTATTCAACCATAACAAGAAACAAAGTACTGATATGTGCTGGAACATGAATCTTGAAAATATTATTAAAATTTAAAAAGCCAGTCATGAAAGACCACATATTGTATGATTCCTTTTATATGAAATGTCCAGAACAGGCAAATTCACAGAGACAGAAAGTAGATTAGTGGTCGCTTAGGGCTAGAGGGTGGGAGTGAGGTGAGATGAGGAATGGAGAAGGATTCTTAATGAGTACAGGGTTTCTTTCTGGGTTGACGAAAATTTTCTCAAATTATTGTGCTGATGGTTATACAACCCTATGAATATACTATAAACCCTTAAAATGTACACTTTAAATGGGTGAATTATATGGTATGTGAATTATATCCCAATAGAGCTGTTAAAAAAAAAGTTAACAAGAAAACTAAACATACTAAGCAGCGAATGCCAGGCTTTTAAAAATTGATTTCATATTTTACTTTTACTCTAATGAATATCAACACAAACAAACAAGGATCACAGAAATTCTGCACAGAGACTTTTTGCTATAACTTGGTCACCAGCCACTGTGTACTGAGACCAGCTGTTTTGCAGAGCAAATTGGTTCTCTATCAAGGATAGGATGCAGAAACCACAACAAAACTGAGTCAGATGTAATAATCCTGTGGCTTTTTGGCCATTGTAGGTAGGTTTGGGGCAACACACACTGCCAGGGACACTTCAGGCCCATTCAAGACAATGACACTAATAATTGTACTAATGGCTTTAGAGGTTGACAAAGTATCACTATACGTGGTCCTATCTGATCGCCACAACAAGGGTTGTGACGTCCAGTTCACAGATGTAGAAACTGAGTCCTGTCTAATTAAAAGGCTTGTTCAAGGCTAGAAACTGGCAACACCAAACCTGAAGCCAGGCCTTCTGACTACAAGTCCAGTGCTCTCTCCCTCTTTTCAAAAAAGTCCTCTTTGAATCACATCCTAGGTGCATTTAACTTGTGGAAATTCAACAAAATTCAGCAAAAGGATGAGAGCACTAGATCAGAACGTAGATGTAGGGAACTCAGATGATACCACACATCTTTTCACACAGTGACCGTAGGCCCTGGAGTGGGCGCAGGACAGAGGTCACAGGTCTGCCGTCCGAGCATCCACTGTACCAATTTGGAGTTATGTATATAACGAGCTCTCTCTCTCTCTCTCTCCTTTATGTAGAAAATTATATTTTGGCGTGTGTTTCTCATATCAGTTACATTATTACATACATTATATATTTTTTGTGAGGTTATACACACAACACTTTGGATATTGTATTTTATGGGTCATTTAAGAAATTCTTGAGGGTGATTTGGACTCTACATGATTTTTCTCTTATGAGCTGACTCTAGAACATAACCCAGCAGTGAAAGGCAACACCACTGGACTGTGAGTCTCCTGGTACCACTTCCTCCTTTGGTGGCCCAGAGCTATTTTGATTTTTATGGCCTAAGCTTTTCAAGACAAAAACCAAGGTGGCTTAGATCTCGGTGAACTCAAGCCCTTGTAGACAGAAGGAGACAAACACCAGAAACGGCACGTTTTACCCTCTCCTACCTCCTCTACTTGTAGGGTTTCTCTTGCAATTTTTTCAAGTAACTCATTTCGCAGCAAGAGCTCCTTGCTCAGATTGATGGACGTGTCCATTGCTCGGTGTAGCTTGCTCTGAAATATAACGACGCAGCAAGTCTTGAGCAAAGATGATCACTCAGAACTGTAGAAGGATAGACAGCTCTTTATCAAGCAGGAGAAATGCAGGACCATCCAGGAACTTGGGCCTGCCCTTCTCACAGCTTCCCAGATTTTCAGAATCCTGGTGCCTAAGTGGCAGGGGAGGAGAGGACCTCGGGAGTCTTGTGCTCACCTGAAGAGTTGCCAGACAACCAGGACCCAAATCTTACCCCCTCTACTTATAGGAGAAACTCTGAACAAGTCCCAGTGGCATCTCGTAGGGTTGTGGAGAGGCTTAAAGGAGATAATCCTGGTAAAGTGCTGAGCACAGTGCCTGACACATGGAGAAAACTCTGCAAACAGCTGCCATTACTACCTCCCTCAGAAGAGGAGAGGGAAACATGCCCCGTGAAGTAGGAGCCACTGCCATCCCCACTTTACAGGGAAGGAAACTGACTCTTAGGGAGGTGAAGCAATTTGCCCAAGGTCACAGAGACAAGGGGAAGCCAGGATTTGAACCCAGGCATGTGGCTGCACAGCCCCCGGGCTCCACCACTGTCTCTAATGCCTATCGGGGCTGGGCCTCTGGTGTGGGAGGAATTCTGCAGGAGGTGCCCCACAGCTTCCCGTTGCATCATTTGCTGCTGCCCTTCACCAGCTCTCCCCGAGTCCCTGCTTCTTAGATTAGCCCCCTTTGGACCTCTGTCTCCCAGTGGGGAAGAGTCAGCCTAGAGGAGTTGGCATATGCTCTGAGGAGTGGGCCAAGGGACAGGAGTCAGTGACTTCAGGGAGCTCACTCAACAAACCCTGACAACCCACCCAGCCTAAACCAGGCACTGGTCAGTAAAACAACGTAGGTCCTGCTACCAAGAGGCAGGCTCACAGCCAGGATGAAGGGGCAAGAAGAAATGTAAAACTGCATCAGTGCCAGGCACTGAAAACACAAGGACGTGGTCAAGAAGGTTTCCTTGGGGGAAGGGATGCGGGAAAGAGCTGAAAGGTTAAGTCGAGTATATCTAGGTGAAAGGGAAGAGAAGAACATTCCAAGCTAAGGAAAGGCCTAGGAGAGGAAGGTCTAAAAGGAGCTGGGGGTGGGGGAGGAGGGTGCTGGGGTGATCCCCAGGGTATCAAATCTTAGACCAGCAGAAAAGCCTGGAGGCACCTGCCTGGGGGACCTTAGGGCACCTGGGGTGCCCTCCTCCTCTCTCCAATCCTCCCTTCTTAAGGCTCATGTCCTGCTCCATGTCCTGCATGAAAGTGCTCTGCTTAGGAAAGCAAGAGTAGATAAGAGACCAGACTGAGGGGTCAGCTGTGGGGAAGGGGAGGCGGGCAGGACTTCACTGCAAACCAGCAGTTCAGGTGGGAGAACAGGAGGGCAGAGGGAAGACATTCACCCACAACTTCAGAGAGTCACGGGAGGAAAGAAGGGAACTAGGGCAACCACAAGGCGTCACTGGCTCTGGTGGGCGGGGCCTTCGCAAAGGTGTGATGGGAGATATTTGTGATTCCGAGCAGGACGTTGGTCACTTGAGGCGGCTACTTCTGAAAAGGCACGTATTAGCTTTCTCTTGCTGTGTAATAAATTACTACAAATTTTGTGGCTTAAAGCACACACATTTATTATCTCACAGCTTCTACAGGTCAGAAGTCCAGGCACAGTGTGGCTGGATTCTCTGCCCAGGGTCCTACAGGGCTGAAATCAAGGTGCTGGCCAGAACTGAGGGTCTCATCTGGGGCTGGGGTCCTCTTCCAAGCTCACGGGTTGTTGGCAGAATGCATTTTCTTGAAGTTTTAAGACTGAGGTCCCCATTTTCTTTCTGGTTGTCAGCAGGAGGTGGCCCTCAAGGCCACCCTCAGACCCCTTCCATGTGGTCCTTCTATCTTGAAGCCAGCAATGGAGAACTTCTCACCCAGAGAATCCCTTTCATGCTGCAGATCCGACATCTTCTTCCAGAGAAAACTCTCTGCTTTCAAAGTGGTCTACCACCATATCACCCTGAAGGCACCCAATCTCATCAAAGGGCTCATGTGATTAGGTCAGGCCCACCTGGAAAATCTCCCTATCTTAAGGTCAACTGTGCTATATTATATGACATAATCATACAACAGAACACAACCTAATAACAGACCCTGTCCTGTCCACAGTTCTGGGGATTCTACAGGGTGTATACACCAGGGGGCGTGGAGTCTTGGGGGACATCTTAGAATTCTACCCACAAGGCACCAGATCACTAGCTTACAGTCAGTTAAGAGTGACACATCACAGCTGCAGTCACAAGCTTATATTCTACCAGACTCCACCAGGCAGGGCTTGAGGGCAAAAAGCCAGAGAAGAAGGTGCCCCCCTGACTGAGGCTCACTCACAAAACTCACAGAAGAGAAGAGACCGTGTCTGTCTTCTTCACGGCTGTACCCTCAGCATGTAGCCCTGTGCCTGGCATCCAGTAGGCACTCAGTATGTTTGATGATAGAGGAAAAGTCATTCTGCGGGGTCTCGTACTTGGATGTTTGATGTTTATATGAAAGTGGCCCCTCCTGCCACCCTCATCCCCTAAACACACCTGAAGCGCTAGCAGTTCACTCGACAAGAGCGGCTGAGCACCTGCTCTGGCCAGGCACTGTCCTCGGTGCCAGGGACACAGCACAGACCAGCGGGAGCTCCATCCTGGGGGTGAGTCACAAAAACCTGCCTCCGAGAGGTGAAGCGTCACGCCCAGGGTCCCCAGTGCAGCCCCTACTCAAACCCAGGTGAGGCCTGACTCCACTACTCCCAGTTGTTCTGCCTCCATTTCCCCTAGGAGACCTGAGAACTGAGACACGGAAGAAGTGAGCCTGCTTCTCTCTCCACCCCTCACCATGTCCACCTTAGGACTCCTGTGGGCGTCTCCTCCCAGGATCCACCATCTGCTTACTATTATTCGAAACAGGCCTACAGCACGATGGCCCCCAGGATTCTGACTGGAATGGCTCTCGTTCCGCCCACTGTGGCCTGTGTCGCTGCTGCTCGGGGATCGCAGACAATCCGCACGGCACATTTAGACCCGTCCTAAAGAGCTCAAGCCCTGGACCTGGCAGTTCCATTTTACAAACCTGTATTCCACTCCAAACCCCTGGCTTTCCCCCAGGAGACCAGACAGGCCAGTGCTACTTAGTTGATTCTGCAGCATAAGATCAAGGTCCAAGCTGATGTACCCACGTACTGCCCAGCTCTCCAGCCAACAAGGCCTGGGAGGCACGGGGGTTGGCTTCATCTTGAAATAACAGTGATAGGATAAGCTAACTACTGATGAGGTAAGATCAAAGTGGATGGTCTATTGGACGTTATGACACATGAATTTCAGAGTGCCAACACAATGTTGTCCACACACTCTACGCCGGGGAAGGCAGCTGGGTTGGGTGGGACACACACTGGATTAGGAGTCCCAGCTCTGTCACAAACTTGTTGCTTTGAATCTGGCAACTCCTCTGCCTCCTCGGGCCTCAGGTTTTTCATTTGTAAAAGGCAAATGTTGGACAAACATAACCCTAGTCTAAACACGTTCACATTTTTAAATGACACCGTGTGAGCCAAAACAAGCCCACCTGTGAGCTACCTAAGAATGTCACCACCTGGGCACTAGCCCACGGGTCACCAACCTTGCTCTGTAAAAGGCCACAGAGTAAATATTTTAGGCTTTACAGGCCAAGAGGCAAAATTGAGAATATTATGTAGTTGCTTAAATTAACAAGAGGAAAATCAATTTCCACAAATGTTTTATTGATGAAATTCAAAATATAATAATTAAGCACAATATCTTGGAATACAGGTCTACTAATGAGAAGAATGAAATTTCAGGGGGAGAAACCAATTTTGCTTAATCGGGTTTCAAGGGTAATGTTCTCTATCAAATCGGCTGCAAATGTTCTTCTGTAAAAGCATTCTTAGCTCACGGGCCAGTGGGCGGGCTGCACTGCCCCGCAGTTCGCTGACCTCCACATTAGACGGTTGCTAGCAGGGTGACTGGACAGCCTGGTCTGCCGGGGACAGGCCCTGTTCATGCCCATAGTCCCTGCTTAGTTATTAATAGCGCCTCTTTCTCTCCTGGAAGTGTTCTGTGTGGATGAGGAATTCTTTAGTAGTTTTCTGACTTATAGCTAAGATGGTTTTCCCTTGCAGGATTTTAAGCAGGGAAGTGCTTATTATACGCCTAAATTAAACGGGGCCCTAAGTGTGGTTAGTTCTCAACACTCATTGTGCATAAAAATCATCTGGGGAGCTGGGAAAAAAAACAAGCATGGCCCTCACCCCCTAGTTCAATTGGTCAGGTTGGCACTAGAGTGTCTGTATATCTTTTAAAGAAGAAAAAGCTCCTGGGTGGTTCTAATGCACAGCTAGGGTCGTGGGAACATTTGGAGAATTTTGGCAGGCATGGCTTTGTCAAGAGCAATCAGGGAGCAGCGGGAGAGTGAAGGGCACCCAAGCTCTCTGGGAAACTGCAGTGCTGCAGGGGAACCTCGCTGCGGCCAGAAGTGGGGGTGCGGGAAACCTTGGGGACCTGGACATTGGGGCGGACCTTACTTTGTATGCGTTGAGGACCTGCAGGGTGTTTCCAGATGCCAGCTTTAGCTGGATCAGTTCTTGGTTCCTTGCTTCAATCGTCTCTAAAAACTGAGCATTCTCAATCTTCAGCTGCTGAAAATCAACTTCGTGGAGGGCCTCACCCACCTCTTCCTTCTGCAGTTCAGAAAGAAGAAAGAAATGATGTGAGGTTGTGGCCTCTGAATGTATGGCTCACACCTTGCAACTCTGGGTGAGATATTGGAAGTCAATTATCATTCAGTCATTCAACAAACACAAGTGGGTATCTGCTTGGTGCCAGGCATGGTGCTAGGCACTGGGGATAGAGATCTGAGTAAATACGATACTCCCTGGCCTTAAAGAGCACACACTCAATGATGGTTCACAGACAGTTGCAGGTATTTACTCAACAGTGTGGGGTAGGGGGACATGCAGGGGCAGAGGGCACATGGAAGCCCCTTAGGCAGGCCAGGAGAGAATGGAAGGCTGGGTCAGGAAAGGCTTCCCATGGGGAGTTGGTGCCTAAACAGGAATGTGAAGGAAGAGTAGGAAGTGGGTTAAAAGTTGTTTGTAACCCACACATCTATGGACAGCTAATTTTCGACAAGGGAGCCAAAACATACAACGGAGAAAGGAAAGTCTCTTCAATAAATGGTGCTGGGAAAACTGGACAGCCACATGCAACAGAATGAAAGTAGACCGTTATCTTACACCATACACAAAAATTAACCCCAAATGGATTAAAGACTTGAATGTAAGACTTGAAACCATAAAACTTCTAGAAGAAAACATAGGCAGTACTCTTTTTGACATCGGTCTTAGCACCATATTTTCAAATACCATGTCTGACCAGGCAAGGGAAACAATAGAAAAAATAAACAAATGGGACTACGTCAAACTAAAAAGCTTCTGCACAGCCAAGGAAACCATCAACAAAACGAAAAGACAACCTAACAATTGGGAGAAGATATTCGCAAACCATACATCTGATAAGGGGTTAATATTCAAAAAATATGAAGTACTTATACATCTCAACAACAAAAAAACTAACAAGCCAATTAAAAAATGGGCAATAGATCTGAAGAGACATTTTTCCAAAGAAGATATACAGATGGCCAACAGGCACATGAAAAGATGCTCAACATCACTAATTGTTAGGGAAATGCAAATCAAAACTACAATGAGATATCACCTCACGCCCGTCAGAATGGCTATAATTAACACGACAGGAAACAACAAGTGTTGGAGACGATGTGGAGAGAAAGGAACTCTCATACACTGCTGGCGAGAGTGCAGACTGGTACAGCCACTATGGAAAACAGTATGGAGATTCCTCAAAAAGTTAAGAATAGAACTACCATATGATCCAGCTATTCCACTGCTGGGTATTTATCCAAAGAACGGGAAAACAAGAATGTCTAAAGATATATGCACCCCTATGTTCATTGCAGCATTATTCACAATAGCCAAGACTTGGAAACAACCTAAGTGCCCATGAAGGGATGAATGGATAAAGAAGATGTGGTATATACACAATGGCATACTACTGAGCCATTAAAAAAGATGATATCTTGCCATTTGCAACAACATAGATGGACCTCGAGGGTATTATGTTATGCGAAATAAGTCAGAGAAAGTCAAATACCGTATGATCTCAGTCATACATAGACAATAACAACAACAAACAAACACATAGATACAGAGATTAGATTGGTGGTTACCAGAGGGGAAGAGGGGAAAGAGGAGAGTGAAAGGGGTGACAGGGCACATGTGTACGGTGATGGATGGTAATTAGTCTTTGGGTGGTGAACATGATGTCATCTACATAGAAATCGAAATACAATGATGTACACCTGAAATTTTATAATGTTATAAACCAATGTTACCTCAATAAAAATAAAATAAAACAAAATAAAAATAAAAGTGGTTTTTAACCTGGAAAACCCAGTACAAGCAGTCCATAAATTCCCCTCTGATCACATGCCATTTCTACATTGCAGGTATATGTATTAGTATATGGGGTTCCCTCCCTGACCCGGCCCCATCTTACCTGTCCCACAAGGTCTGTGCCATTTTACACTGTGGTAGGCAATAGCCAAACTCGGGGACTGTTCCCCATCCCCGTGCTCTACTCACGCTGTACTACCTCCTGGGAGGCATCTTCTTCCCACAACAATTTCTTTAATCCCCAGTATGACCCATCCTCCAGCTCAAATGCTCCCAACCTGTCTTCCACTCTGGGGGGTACTCCCTCCCTCCACTGAGCCCCTGGAGGCTGTAGCTCTATGGTCCCTGTTGCTGTAGCCTCTGTAGTGCAGTTACACATCCGCGCCTTTTCTCACCATCACCACTCCCTGCTAGTTTGTGAGCTCGTGAGGGCAGGACCCACATCAGTGTCATCTCCGCGCAGCAATGACTTTTAGGTTAAAGGTCATCCATCTACTCCCCATCTCACGCTTAAAACTCCTCTTTAGGATGCCTGAGCTTGCATGATGCTCAGAGTACCAGGAACTCACCATCTGGAGGCAGCTCATCTCTCTCACTGGCAGCTCCACTGAGGCCACGTTCTTTCTTACACTGAACTCAAATCTCCTTCGCTGACACTTCCACCCTTGGCCCTAGTGCCACCCATGGGGCCCTCTCCTGCTACAGAGGCCAGAGCACTTGCAGACAGCAGCATGGCCCTCCCGGGCCCTCTCTCCTTGGGCTCACCATTCCCAGGTCCTCTGACGTGCTGTCTGCTCCCCTTGCTCTCCAGCTCCCTCTTCTTTGTGGCCTCTAGTTTACTGATTCTTTCAAGCATGGAGCTCTCCCTGAGACACAATGCTCCAGGTCGACCTACTCAGAATAGAATGGAGCAGGACCACCCTCTTCTTGGTGGGGCAGTGATTCTCTGAGTGCAGCCTGGGCCACAGCATCGCCTCCAGCTGAGCTGACTTTATCAGGTAGCCTATGGCTAAGCCATCTGGTACCTGTGCTTTGGGGGATCAAAGCGGAGGATCTTACATTTGACCTTAGTCACTTCATGTTGTTAGAGCTGTCCTAGCTTGTTGAGTCTTTTGAGATCCCAAGTCAATCAAGCAATAGTCCCAGACACATTAATTCTCCTGCCCAACTTTGTGTCATTGTCAGTGGCTACCTCTGATCAACATGCCATCAGTGCCCATATATTCGTTAATAATAAAAATATTGAGCTAGGAGAGGACGGTGCCATGTAATCACATTCTAGAGGCCCTGTGCCATGTCTGCCTTTAATCAGGAGCCTTCAGGGTCAGCTGTTCAAAGACTCACCCAAGTACACTCTTACTGTGCCACTTAGGCCACATTCCCCAAGAGGGTCAATAAGGATGTCATGAGGGTCTTTTAAATTCAAGCCAACTCCATCTACAAATTTGCCAGCACAGTAACCATATGAGTTTCCTATGGCTGATATAACAGGTCACCACAAACTCAGTGACTTAAAACCAACACAAATCTATTATCTTACAGCTCCTGAGGTCAGAAGTCTGAAATGGTTCTTTAGGCTAAAATCAAGAAGTTGGCAGGGCTGCCTTCCTTCTGGAGGTGCTAGAGGAGAATCTGTTTCCTTGCCATTTCCAGCTTCTAGAGGCTGCCTGCATTCCTTTGTTCATGACCCCTTCCTCTGTCTTAAAAGCACATCACTTGATCTCTGCTTCTGTTATCACATCTTCTCTGACTTTCATGCTCCTGCCTGCCTCTTATAAGGACTCCTGTGATTACACTGGACCCACTCAGATAATCCAAGATAATCTCCCCATCTCAAGATCCTTGATTTAATCACATCTGCAACATCCTTTTGCCATGTGAGGTAACATATTCACAGATTCAGGAATTAGGATGTGGACATCTTTGGGGGGACATTGTTCTACCTACCACAGTAACCTTAAAAAAAAGAGAAAATGCCACATACCTGCCTTAATTGTAAAAGCATCTTTTTCTTCTGGACTTTGAGAGACACATTTTTCAAAAGTAATTTATCCTTTATATTGTCCTAAAAAAAATAAAAGCAAAATTTAATCTACTTCTCTTGTTCTTCCCTGCTGGTTTGAAAAGTTGGTAGGTCTGGGGCTGCAAACCAAACCTTGAGCCCTAACATTCAGTCATTTATTTTTAGGTCTTTTTACATCTCGCCAAGCTGGTGTTGCCATAGCATCTCACTCATGACCAAGAAGCAGAGGAAACTGGGTCTGCTCCATGCAAATTTTCTATTGCTTTTAGAGGCAAGATAATTTTGGTATAGGGGCCTTTCCTGACAAAATGATCTTATGATTCTTTGGTCTTTTATTCTCTTGGTAGTTTACATAATTTTTATTACTTATAACATGTTGGGGTTAGTAACCCTGTTGATCTCCAGGATCCAAAGCTTGACACGCTACAACATCTTTAAAAGTGAAGGAGCATTTTATGTCTCATCCTTATAATAATGGAACTCAAAGAGCCTGAGGTTTGCCTGCCACACTCCATGCAGTCACTTGACTAGACAGGCTCACACCTTTCTCAAGAAAATATATCAGATCTTGAAACAAATTACAACAATAAAAAGGAAGTCGATCTGAGATACTATTAATATTTATCCTGCCTTATTGATTTTAGCGTTGATAAACCTACATTTTAAGACACATACTATGGGGGATGCAAAAAATCTGCATATGTAGGCAACAGTTATGGTGGACCAAATGGAGCAGGGCTGCCTCACATGGATCATTTTTATGTCATCATTCTATGAATCTATTCTCCCTTTCTAAGCTCTGACTTCTTGCCAACTCACCCTCCGGCGGTTCATATCCTCAATGTACTTCATCACTTTCTGAGTGGCCAAAATACTCCCTTTCTTCTTGGGTATGTTTTTTAGAATATCTTTTTCAAACTCATTCACTGCTCGCTTAACTTCAGTCCATCGAATTTCCGCTTCCTCAATGATAGCCTGGGGGAGTCAGCACAAAGAGAGAACAGAGTTCCCAAAAATTCTCAAGGATATATCCCTCTAAGGAAACCTAAGTTCTCAGGCCTCTCCATGTCCCAATGCATAATGGTTGTTCTTAGTCTTAGAAAGATGTCCTTAAGATACAAATTTACTATATGAATGTTATGGAGTGCCCACTGTGCTGTGGTGGCCCCACCCATGGGAATGCTCCCCACTGAGTGGCAGCAGCTCAGCCTCAGTGAAGGAGCCCCACCCACCAAGCGCAGCAGCTCAGCTGGTCCCTCACTGAGTGCAGCAGCCCCGCCCACATGAGAGTGACCCACCAGCAGAGCACAGAGGCCCCACCTGTGCATGAGTACAAGACTGCCAAGTGGCTGCGGCCAGCCTGCACAAACACAGGGCAGCCCTACCTGCACAACTTCCAGCAGACAGGGCAGGATCAGAAAACACAGCTCCTGTTCCCTCCCAGCAATGGCAGGTGGAATCTGCAACCTGATGCTACCACAAACGCACC